TTATTACACCCAGAAGATAAGCCCTTTTCTTATATAAATTGCACTTTTCTTTCATCTTTTCTGTAACGAAATTATCATTTCCAATAAAACTTATGATAGCACATTCGAAGATATTTATCGGTATTTTCCCTTTAGGTTAATTACAATTAATCTAAAGAGCGCATTTAGATGTTACTATTTAAGTTTTTTCAGTTTTTTTAATTTAAAAAACTGCATGTAAATTTAATAAAAAACATTACAAAAATTTAAAATCGATATATATTTCTAGAATTTAAATTACTTTTCTTCGTGTAGTTAAATTAAAGCTAGCCTCTTCTCAAACTTCATTAACGATTCTACATATATATATATGTGCGTGAACTTTATTAAATTCTGCTCATTTTGACAGTTTATAAAAATACATTTCTAAATATATCATTCCTTCTCGTTACATTGACTAATATACTAATGTTAGTAACTATTTATCTATTGATAGATAATATCTTTCTTGTCGAAATTTAAAGTCAAATCCTTCTAAAGCTAAGTAAATGCAGTCAAATCTCCTTATTGTTGATTTCTAACCTGATATGAAGTGATAAGAGTTTGTACAGGATGAAGACTGATACAAAATGCGATCTAGTAGATAATTCTCTGCATAAGTTTGTCTCCGGAGAATTGGAAATTCTGTTGGATGTGTAATTTATCCTGATATCACTATTTGCTTTAATGGGATTTTAAGAGCAGCATTTACAGCATATTTCCTCCTAGTAATTACTTAAAATTTAGACTTAAATTTATACTAAAATAAGGAAAGAAAATCTACGAACTTTTACATATATATATATATATAAAGTTTGTAGTATTGTAGATTGTTAGATATAAAAATCTACAAACTTTCTACTCTATATAATAAACTTAAGAAAAAATAATACTAATAATAACAAAAGTTCAGAAAATAAATTTTTATTTATTGATTTTTTTCCAATTGTAGAATTGAAGATAAAAAAATATATATTCTTTATCAGAAAAATCCTTTCAATTTTTAAGATTCACGAAAAGATTTGATCTTTTCTCCTGGAAAACTTTGTAGATATGAAGAATCTTTTCTTATAAAAATTTTACAACTTCTAAAATAGTAACTATATTTGTCGATAGTAAGGAAGAAAGTAAGAGAAAGCTGGAATTTTTAACAGATAAAATAATTTTAAAATCGATATTAAACTATATAAAGAAATTACAGGTATTTATAAATCGCATTTATGATGGAAATTATTAAAGTTATTTTTTACTCGTTAATACTAAAACATTGAGTATTTTTTTATGAATTAGTTGACACCATAAAATTTTTATAGAGTAGAGTTCGCCATCAACTTCTTTTATATGAAATTGTAGTAGGCCATGTTCAGAAATAACGCCAAAAATAAATGGCCTGATGTTAGTTCTTGCGTGACTGTTTTCCTTCATAAAATAAGCGAAAACTTTATATATATATACTGTATATTGTCAACAGGCATTCTCTTGTTAATAAAATGTATGTAAGATCTATAATATATAATGTAAAGAAATTTTATGTTTAAACAATCTTTACTTATTATCTCAACAAATTTTTATAATTAAAAACTTTTAGGCCTATATAATACAAACTCCCAAAGAACGAATGTCAAAACATTAATAAAGAAAACCAAAATTTATATATTTATGGTAGATTGACATCTACATAAGCAATAATATACTTAGCCACACCTGTTTCTACTTCTTTTAACCAATCACCGTGTGTCTTCATACAAATGTATTTTGATTAATAACTTATATAATCGCTGACGACTACCTATGTTCATAGTAAAGTTTTTTAATTAACTTTTTGATTTTCTACAGTTTACATCTTTATTATATTTATAATTTAATTTATATAATCAATACATTTAATATAGTTTAAACAACGATTTAAAAAAATCACATACTCACCATCAAAAATTGAATTTTTATAAATAAATATATTGATAAAGTCAAAAGTATTTTCACTATAATAAAATAATTTGATTTGAACCTTTATATATAAAAATAATTATATTTCGCTTCCAATTTACGATGAAAGGCTTCTTTCATAAATATATATAAAAAAAGTAGAATAAATAAATAAAATTTCACGGAAATTTATCAAAACTTTTCAAAAGAATTAAATTAACCTGTTGTAATAATTATTACATCTTCTAAAATTTGTTAAATTGTTTGCTTATAACTCATCAACGTTGGAATATTTTCTTGTTAAAGTCGTAAAACGAAATTAGATTTTCAGTAAACATAAATCAAATTTAAAGGCGTTAAAATATTAATTATATTTTCCTAATTATTCGTTCTTTTAAAAGTTATTCGTTGTAATAACACGTCACGTGGCCGTGCAACAAGATTACAAATTTATCCTTTTATCTCAAAAGGATTAGAAGAGGAAAACTCGTTATCCTTTTTCCACTTGATAACAGCTTGCTTTCTACTTTCTTTCCTTATATAACGATCCCTTTTCTGCATGCGAATTGCATTTAACATTTTTGATTTTGAAAAATGTTTATCTGACAAAACGTAAATTAAGTATTAAAAATTCTCTTAAAGAATCCAATTTTTAAATTTTTATTTTATTTCATTAAAAAAAATAAAACATGTTTCAACTTAAATACATGAAAAACAATATGGAAACTGTCAGCAGTTTTGAATTTTTAATAATTGCTTAGGTAAATTTAGAGTATAGAAAGTTGTCTTGGAAATTTTATGTTGTATTATATAAATCAAATTGTCCTTTTTATAACGAAAGGTATTAGTTTCAATATGTTTTTGTATAGAGTGACAAATGGAAAGAGAATATATAAAAGTTGACAGTCACAACTACTGTTTTACTCTTTTCCAGTTCACAGAGTTTATTTTCGTTTTAGTTTCTGAAAAGAGTTTAGATTGAAGAGAAATAAATATCTTTCCCATGTGAATAATTCTTTGTTTTTTTATTTTCAATTCCCTAAAATCTTTCTTCTAGATAATATTTCGGATATATTTTGACGTTTGTTTTTTGTTTAGAAAGGTATATATACGTTATCCCCATTTAAATCCTGTAGTCTTTTTTTTTCCTCTATAAATATTTTGCTGTAGAAAATAAAAAAACGTTGTAAACAATATCTTGTAGAGGATTTTTTAGCTTGGAAATGTCTTTCAAGTATCCAGATTCTAGAATTGAAAATTTAAATATTCAATTGTAACAAGCTTATAATATTAGAAATGCATTAAAATAATAAAATACTTTTTAACGAGATTGGAAATTGTTATTTTTCTTCTTAAAATTGTTTTTCGTATTTTAAAAATTAAAGATGATCAATTTTGGAAATTGCATTATCAGTTCTTGACTTTTTTCTTCTTTGATCTTTGACCTTTACTTGAACCTTGAATCTCTCCTTGAATCTTTCACTTGTCAATCCTCCTTTAATCTTTCACTTTTTTCTTGAATTTTTTCTTGATTCTTTGATATTTTCTACTTACACAATTTTTGACTATTCTTTTTCTTAAAAATTTCAGAATAATTAATTTTATTATCTATTTTTAAATATTTTTTTACTATAATTAAAATTTTAAATTTTGTAAACTTTTTTAAAATTTTGAAAATAAAATAATTTATTTATTAAAAAAATATTGAATTAAGATCAATAACCTTATATGAAAATTGTAGATACAAAATGCGATCTA